CTGTGGACTTCAACTCCCAGAATCCCCCAGCCAGCTGGCTGGGGGATTCTGGGAGTTGAAGTCCACAGGACTTAAAGTCGCCAAGGTTGAGAAACTGATTTAGTGTCATTTGAAGTTACAATGGCATCGAAAAAGTAAAATATGAGTTTTTCACACTTAACCACCATTGCAGCATCCCCAGGGTCATGTGATCAAAATTCAGACACTTGGCAATCGACTCATATTTATGACGGTTGCAATGTCCTGGGATTATGTGATCACCTTTTGTGGCCTTCTGAGTCAATGGAGAAGCCAGGTTCCCTTAATCGTGTTACTACACAACTACAATGATTCACTTAACAATTGTGACAAGAAAGATCATAAAATGGGGCAAAAGTCACTTAAACTGTCACACTTAGCAATCTGGCTCAATTGTGGTCATAAGGCGAGGACTACGGTATGTGTTAATGGAGTAATTAATACTGCACTAGCACCGTATTCTAATGTTTGTGGGTCTTAAGCCAAGACTTTGGGAGTCTGTTCAGCATTTCACCAACCCTTAAATGAATTCCAAGGCAAAATATATTCTCAACTCTTCCTCATTCTCTCCCATGGGCCACCTGAGTAGAAGTTGCTGATACATTTGAGAACTTTCTGCATCTTTGCTTTGACCCAAGAAATCTAATCTCCCCAGCCCCATTATTGAGAGTTCACAAGCCACTGGGGGCGCAGACCCGTTCTTAAATAAGTTGGGGTGAAATGCCGACATTGAAATGAATAAGATTTGAAGTCTCTGGATTCTTCTAAACTCTTAGTTGTATTCCCACTTAATGTATGTAGTCTCTAGCATCTCTACAGTTCACTGTAGTAACTTTCTCCCTTAGCATGTCTATGCTCCGTGATCCTCAGAAAGATGACATTTTATAGATGCTTTTTTTAGATCAGCAGTAGGTGAGATATGACCCTCCAGAGGCTGCAGAACTCTCAACTTCCATCAGTTCTTGCCAATATGGCCAAGTGATGAAAAATGACAGGAGATCCGGTCCAACAATACACAAAAGCGCCCACATGATGATACATTAATAGTAGCTAATTATAGCTCTCTTTTGCCATTCAATTTGATTGAAAAAAAGGGCCAAATTAGAACAGTGGGCGTTATTCAAATGGTTTCCAGAGGATTTTATAGCTTTTGAGTTCAGTGGAACTGAAATCAGTCTTAGGATTCCACAAAGTTGTAACGGAGAATTAATAAGGGGATGCAGCCAACGCGTGAGTTCTTGTGATGAGGAAGAACTTCTCCCCGAGAGAAGCTGTACAAAAGTTAAAGGCCATCCTTTTTTTTTTTCTTCTCTCAATCTAACCCAACCCAGATTTACTCCCCATTTGGCACAAAAATCAAGACTGATAGAATGGCTTCAAGTTATAATGGAAAAAATTGCCTACCTATCGAATCAGCAACAGATTGAAACACCCTACATAACCTCAAGAGATGGGGAATTAGAGGAATAAGTTATCAAACAAAGAGGCAAACAGATAGGTGAGAAAGGACGCTCCCCCATTGTTGTCTTCCCAAATCACTGGAGTTCAGTAAGTGCTAAATAAGCAGTGGGGGAATTGGAAGAACAGATCTTGGTCCAAGAGGTAAAAGAAGGGTGGGGGAAGCACATTCTTAAGAGATCACTTTCTCAAATCAGTTTTTCCATGCATAGAAGAGAACATGAAAGGAACTTAAGTTGGAGGGGTGTGTGGGTTACTGCATGCTATGGTGTGGGAAGAACTGGCCCGGAGCAGATCTCAGTGCATGTGCTTTATCCCTATGGCTGGGGTATGGCAGAGAACATCATGGCTGAGGACAGGTCAGATGGCTATGGCAGATGCTGACAAAAAAAGAACTGAGAAAGTGCTAAGAGAGGAAGAAGGAGAAATAGTTTCAAGTATACTGGTCAGAGAATAGTGAGCAAGGTCCCCATGTGGGCAGAGTCCATTTTTCCCCAGTTCCTCAGGCCCATGCCTTAGGTTCTCTCTGCTTCTGTATCCTCATCGGCCTCCAAAATTGAAGGTGGCGTCTTCGCTTCCTCTCCACGGCCCGCCCTGCTCAGCACTTCCATCCATCGCTGCCGCAGCTCCTCAGTCTCAGGGCTGAAATACCAACACAGATGGCTCTGGCTGATCCGGAAGGCATGGCGCCGGTCCACCCGTTCGCTGGGCTCAGGAAGGTTGACTTCGAACCCAATCAGGGGCATCGAGCGCAGGGCTTTTACATCCTGCAGGATGACAAGAGCAGGAGGCACCATGAGTGCTTATAAACAGCCCTAAAGTGACTTGGTGATCTGAGTTCAATTGCCCTTCTGATTTAGACTTCTCTTTCCCCCCAAAGCAATAGCAGTTAGACTTATATACCGCTTCATAGGGCTTTCAGCCCTCTCTAAGCGGTTTACAGAGTCAGCATAT